ACTTTGGGAAGGGCCTAAAGACACTTCAGTCAGTGGCACCGCCCGGTGGATTTTCCAGACGAGTTTTAAGAAAAACAAACATTTATTTGTTTCAGGCCCGCCCGCCTCTCCATTAAAGTCAGACTCTGACCCGGCAGGAACCGGAAACACGGGACAGAACATGGGCGACCGAGAAGTGACGTCATCTTCAAGACCACCTGGCGTCACTTCCCCTCCACCAGTCGCTTCATCTAACACAACTTCGTCTACGCAGAGACCAGCTCTCACAACGATTCTTTCCGCAACTGCAGCATCGACGGCTGCAACAATAAAGACAACGGAAACAGCGACAAGAACGTCGACAACACCAATATCAACAGCAGCAGCAACACCGACAACTACATCATCATCATCATCATCGTCTTCAAAAACAACCTATTCGTCATCTTCGAGAACAACAGCAGCGACAGCAGCAACATTAATGGCAGCAGAAATAACGTCCTCTTCACCAACTACATCGTCCACCACCGCCAGCACCACATCGAATACTGTCATAACAACAGCTCCTGCAACTACTACAACTACATCTACCCCATCGACGACAACATCTACGTTAACAACTAACCCAACAACCACAACTCCAACTACCACTACCTCGACATCCACATCCACAACGACATCTACAATTCCAAAAATGAAATCAACAACATCATCAACAATATCATCATCAACAACTGAGTCAACCACAACGACGACAACCACAACACCACAACCAACAACTACTCCTATCCCTACCACACAACCCCCAACCACGACGACATCCTCCCCAACAACCACTACCACCACCACCTCGACAACGTCTACGGCTCCCCCAACAACAACAACAACCACAACGACTAGCACAACCACGAGTACAACCACCTCATCAACACCCTCGCCGACTACAGCAACGACATCTACGACGACAACAACTACCCCGCCGTTACCAACCACTCCATCACCAACAACTACAATGACAGCAACATCCACGCCCTCACCAACAACAACGACAACTACCACCACGCCGCTACCAACCACGACATCGACAACTACAACAACAACCACACCGTTTGTACCTCCAGGTGAGACTTTTCAACTTCCTTGGCACTTACTTAGTTATTTACTCTCTCCCCACACCATCAGGTACGCAAAGCAGTGTGGACGGTTAGCGGGTGCTGTGGTGCGGTTTGCTCCTTCTTTTCTGTCAAACCTCTATCGCCCTTATCTCCCCTCCTTCTTTTTAGTGTTAATTATTCTTCTGTAACACCTCAAATCTTCGAAAGACAGATAACCTTATTGTGTTGCAAGTTCCGTAAAACTCTTACTAAAACTAGAAAAATAACAACCCACAAGGCATAGAGTAGTGTACACCACACTTGTCTGTCCGTGGCCACCTTCTCAAATCTTGGTCCATCAATGCCTTATGTGATTTCCTCATCCCTGTTTGTACCTCTGTAAGTTCCAGTTGGTCTATCTCTTCTTCTCTTTTTCAATTGGCCTCCAATACCGATTTGGTTGAAAACATTAGTTGGTACTGTAGGCAGCTCCAACACACACACACACACACACACACACACA